CCCGATCCTCTCCAAAACCAGCAGCATATTTCTTTAAGAAGAGAGCATCTACACTGGTATGTACTTTTGCGCAAGAGCATCCTTGCCAGTGTAGACGCTCTCTTGCGCAAGAAAGCTCCGATGGCCATTTAACCATCCGGCTTTCTTACACAAGATATTCACGTTGCCTGTCTACACTGGCCTCTTGCGCAAGAACAGTTGTGCAAGAGGACTTATTTCTGAGCGGGAGCATCACAGTTCTTGCGCAAGGAGCACTAATTTCACACATTAAAATGGCCTTAAGTGGAAGGTGCTTTAGCTTTTCCTTATACCTCGTGTCTGACACCAATGAAACTGCTGCTCCGGTGTCCACTTCCATGCGTACAGGTTTGCCACCCAACAATGGGGTTATCCCGAATTCATGGGAGCCCCTGGCCAAAGACAAAACATCGCAGGGCCCTTCTCCTTCAGACGGGGTGTAACCTTGGTCATCAGGAGTCTGTTCGATGCAAATTTTCCTTTTTGTCCCATCAGACGGGGTGTCAGCTTGGCCATCAGACAACAGGCCATTTATCAGGAAGCAGGGCCTGGTTACCACAGTTGGGCCAGGCCAGGACACCAGGAAGGGAGGAGGAAAAACACATTCTGGAGCAGGGCGGGAGGTGCAGGGAGGCAGGTTTGGCCACTGCTGTTCCGAGAAGGTGCCGTTCCGAGTGCTTCCTGCCGGGTTCCCAACAGAGATGGGAGGAAAATCTGGTTCCCTTCCCCACTTCCCGGCACCAACCGATGGCAGCCAGGTGGCTGGGGGTGGAGGGAGACACCCAGTGGATAAAACATTGGTCATTTGTTTAGATCCACTGATGACAGTGACTCACTGGGACGGCCTTTTCCCAGGCATATAAATGGACCCATACCGGAGGCTTCTCAGCTTTTTCCAAGTCACAACTGCTGGGGACTCGCTGGTCCTTCTGGCAGGGGCGGGGGCGTGCCAGACGGGTGCACAGGAGGTTGCTGTGGCTTGGAGAGTGGTGCAGGGAGGTGATCCGGAGCATCCCGTTGTTACTGAGAAGATCATGGGGAGGCATCTCACTGCTTATGGGGGTGATTATGGGCTGCCAGAGCATCACCCCATTTTCAGAGGATGGGGGCACTGCTGTTATTGGGGGTGGTGGGATGGGTTGCTCAGGAAGGACGGACGGTTTGGCAGCTTAACGGCTCTGCCGGGTGGGGTGGGATGGGTTGCTCAGGAAGGACGGAGAATTTAGCAGCTTAACGGCTCTGCCAGTACTAGGGAGACATGGCTTCTAATCGCTGGGCTGCTGCTGCCTCCCTGTCGGACATTGGCCCAGTGGTGGTGCTGCTCCGTGCCTCAGTTTCCCCAGCACTGCAACATGCCCAGCCTCACAAACAGTTGTGGGGTAAGCACAGCACCTGATCTGGGGTGCTGCCGTGATGGAAGCCACCCGGCACCGGAGAGCTATTCATTTCTGTGTTGTAGAGCTGCTGGGGGAAGTGGGGGCTCTGTTACTGCGGCAACGCATGAGAAGGGGAACTAGGAGGAGAGGGGTGGGCTCAGGCCAGCTCATGGAGATCTTTGCCGGCTGGCTTAAGATTTCATCCCTCCCCCCACAACAGGTCAGATGTTTCCATGGAACGTGCCCTTGGGGCAGCCTCTGGGTGGAAGTGGATGATGGAGCAGAGTTGGGGGAGACTGGCCCCCCCTTGACACCACACGATCCCAGTGTGTTTATCCATGAGGGGCTCTGCTATCGCCCTACGGTACAGGCAGGGTAGCTGCGGGGCAGGGAAACAGCTTGCTCACGCCTGACTCCTTAGCGAGCCCCTTACCTGTGTGTCACCCGTCCTCCTCAAGACACCCCCGGCCAACGATTCCCTGTCGCTCTCTCCCTGCAGTAAACCAGCGACGTCGACGACTCTTCCCATCGCCACGGCCGCCATGCAGCTCCTGATCCTCGCCATGCTGGTCGCCGGGGCAGCAGCAGGTAGGGAAGAGCCTGGCGAAAAGCCACCATTGGGCGGGGTGGGAGGGTTCTGCAGTTTCGCCACAGGCCCTACAGGAGTGTCGCAGACATGGCACAAGAGAAGTTGCTTTTCAGGAAGCGCAGAGTTCCAGGAAGTGCCTAAATCGGTTCCACTGGTTGCGAAAGGGGATTAACATAGACAGGCCTCATCGCTGATGAGCCTCCATTGCTTGTGGGACCGGTCGGGAGCCCTGATTTCACAAGGGGTTTTCGTCCCGCGTCAGGACAGAAGGGAAGAATTTTGAAATTTCCCACAAACTGGAATGTTTTTTGGGGAGGAAAATCTGCTTCTCTGAGATTTCAATGTCTTTAAATGCAAAGCTTTTGTAAAAACATACAGAGCAGAGCGCCATTTCGAATAGGACGCTAATTCTTTTAAGAAAAAAACCATGCGTAGAAAACTATTTTTAAAAAATCAAAATGGCTTTTTTCCAGTAATGTCAGATACACATCCCATGACTCACCAGGCACCACTAGATAAGGAGAAGCCAGTGCATCATGGGAGTCCCGGGCTATGAGGCATCCTGGGAGCTGTCGTTTGATTGTGGAGCCCGGCCCACAGAGGTTGATTTGTTTATATCTGATAAAAGAAGTCGCCTGGCTACCAGCTCATTTCCAGACACTTTCAGCTTCAGCCAAATGGCATTTTCCAATAGGAAGAAAAAAGTTTCAATTATTTGTATTGCGGCAAAGCCAAGAAACGCCACTCGGTGACCGACTCTGGGCACTGCTGAGCCTGTGCTAACGGTGATTTCCGGAGACCGATCATTTGATCAGCTCTGGGGGCTTTTTCTTGGGAACAGCAAAAGGCGCTTTCCTGACTCTAGGGCCGCAGTTCCCAATCACTGGTCCACAGAGCGGTGGAGGGCCATGGACCCCTGCCAGGCCACACCCCCAGCTGCTAATGAGCCCCGCCCACCAGGGAGCTCCATTCCCTATAAGGTGCACACCTCTGTGCCCGCTAACAATTCTCCTCCCTCCCTCCCTGTCCCTGCCGGGCGAGCCTCACCAGGGTCTTGGTTCCAGCTCTGGCAGCAACCACACGGCCTGGCTGATGGGGCTGCATGGTGGGCGGCTGCCCCGTGTCCTTTCTGCTGCAGGGCCGAGCGTGCCAGGGGGAAGCACATCAGGAGAAAGACAGAGCCGCTCTCCCTGCCCCATGGCAAGCTGCGCAGAAATGGGGGTGTTGAATCCTGTGTGGCCTATGAGCCGGTTCTACCTAGGACAGCCTCAGGTCACCTCGTGCTCTGCACGGCTGTGCACAAGTGGCAGCTGACGGATGCTCATGGCCCTTCTGCTACCAGTCAATTCATTCGGCCGTGGCTGATGCTCACCCGGCCCCTGGCCGGCTGCTGGCTGACGTGAACCTCTCTCCACAGCATCCTTACAACGAGTGGAACGCATAGTCCCTGGTGGGAAGCCCTGCATCCCCGGCTCCCGGCCCTACCAAGTGGCTCTCATGAAGGACGGCCACATCCTCTGCAGCGGGAGCCTGGTAGACAGGAAATGGGTGATGACTGCAGCAAGCTGCCGCAGAAACATCTGGTAAGTTGGCATGGAGGTGGGGGGAGGAAGGAGGAGGCCATGTCCCCAGTTCTTATCTTCTCCTTGGGGTCCCCCCGTCTGTGCCGACGTGTCCCACTGCCCCTCCCAAATCTCAGCCTAACCCTCCCGTTTTTCCAGCCCTTGCACCATTTTGTGGCTCTTCTCTGCACCCTTACATGTGGCTGCCCAGCCTGGAGGCGGCAGAGCCGTATGGCTCTCCCCAGTGGTGTGGGCAGAAGGAAACTCGCCCCCACCCTTGCCAGCATCAGTCCTTGGAGCATCCCCCTGGTTCTTCAAAATACAGCACTATTCCGACCGGTCCCGTAACCCTCATGGTTACGTACCCAGTATTTTGAAATAGATTTTGAAATAAAAAATTTCAAGACACGGAATTGCTATTTTGAAATTCTTCCGGAATCCCAAAATAGCGCCGCTGTCTGGAGGTCCCCTCGCAGAATTCAGCCCAGAGGGGAGGGGAGAGTGTGAAGGACAGAGCTATCTTCAGGACAGGCCGTGTTTACAGAGCACTAGAAAGGTCACCTGCATTTTGAGAGCGCTTCCGCTTCAGCCAAACACCACACATTCATTCCAGGGATAACATTGTCATCAACTATTCCCCACATCCCCTCTCCATTCGGGGGTCTAGGCTTGGGCTGTGGGCTGATAGGAGCGTGATATCATAACAATGCACCTTGCACACAATTTTCAGAGGGGGAGCGGTGGGAGTCTGTCAGCAAAAACACCAAGGAATCATGTGGCACCTAAAGGACTCACCTTGGGAAGGCTCATGCCCAAATAAGTTAGTGAGTCTTTAAGATGCCACAGGACTCCTTGTTAATTATTCCTAACATTCTATTTACGATTTTATAGACCTTAATCTTATCCCCTTCTTACTCTCCTCTTTTCTAAGCTAAAAAGTCCCAGTCTTTTAATCTCTCTTCATATGGGATCCCTTCCAAACCCCTCATTATTTGTTGCCCTTTTCTGAACCTTTTCCAGTGCCAATAGATCATTTTGTGATGAGGGGAGCACGTATGTACGCAGTAATCAAGATGTGGGTGTACTATGGTTTTATACAGAGGCAATAAGACATTTTCTGTCTTATTCTCTATCCCCTTTTTCATTATTCCTAACATTCTGTTTCCTTTTTTGACTGCCGCTGCACACTGAGTGGATGTTTTCAGAGAACTATCCACAGGGATTCCAAGATCTCTCTCTTGAGTAGTTGTAGCTAAATGAGTCCCCATCATATTGTACGTGTAGTTGGGATGATTTTTTCCAAAGTGAATCGCTTTACATTGATCAACATTTAATTTCATTTGCTGTTTTGTTGCCCTTATGTGTGTGCACAGGTACCTTTTGGTCTCTGGGGTTACGGACATTCTCCATGTAGATCTATTTCAAAGGTGTTTGCTCCTGGGGTAACATCCCACAAGGCAATTTACTTCCCGTCTGGCTAGCACCTTGTGAAAGGGCCAGTTTTTCAGGAGCCTTAGGCAGCCGGGTAGTTCATGTAAGCCTAGGGATGGAATTTATGATTTTGGGTGAAAACGGCTGCTTTGGTAATGAAAAAATGCCCCATAAATTCAGGACGTACTCAGCCGTGTGGGCTGGTTTGCCTGAGGACGGGCTTGCACATCACTGTGGGTTCCTCTCTGGGCTTCTCTCTCCTGTCCATGGAGGGCTTCTCCCTGCCTGCCCCCGCACTCCACATCCGACTGCTCTTCTCTGGCAGCAGCATGGGAGGGCCAGACTGGGGCCAGAGAGGAGCTCCCAGCCTCTGCAGCTCTGCTCCGACCTTCTTGAAGCCCCCAAGCAGCATGTGGAGGGAGGAGGAAAGAAGCCCCAAACCTCAGGCCACCAGGAGAAGCTGCGTGGAGGTGGACACCAGGGTAGCTGTGTGAATGGAGGTTGGGTGCTTGGTTATATACAGCTCCATCTTTCATAAACTGATCGGGGATCCTTTGCCCCTGGGTTTTGGCTTGGAGGGACCAGATGTCCCAGCAATATTGGGATAATCCCACTATAGAAGGTCTGCCCTCTGTATGCAACCCTACCCCCGCCTGAAAAAACATGACCTGGCTTTTCACACTGGCCCTCAGCTCCCCCTACTCATGAGACCCACTAAATATGGTTCGTTTTACTTTTGACTCATCCAGTGCACTATGGTCGCTCATCCCAAGTTACACCTCCATGTGGTAGCACTGAGAATGGCAAAGAGCAAATCTGGGTTAAAGAATTTCTACTTCTCCAGTAAATCCGAATGTCAGAGGAGAAAAGTTTATTTTGGTTGTTGCGAAAATGTTCTCAAAATAAACTAACAGGGCCCTCCGAGAGAAATAGGCTCAGAGGCAAATTATGATTAGTATGTTTTCATTTATTATTATTATCAGGGATAAACAAACTATTGAATCTACTCACCTGTGGCGAGTAGATTTCAACCTGGAGTCCCATTTACCAGCGGTGTGTGCATGCGCAGTGCGGGGCTGGCGAGTGGCTTTCGCCGCCGTTTGTCAAGCTCTGAATATTAATTATTATTATTATTCAAGTATGATAATGCCTGTTTAGCATAACTCAGGATGTATCTATACTGTACCCTTAACTGGAAATAATCTACACAACTTACATAGCTTATTTCGAGGTTATTTCAGATGGGTAAAGCTGGTCAGAAGAAAGTGTCAGCAACAGTGGCTAAGAATATGAGGAAGGGGATTACTGAGACAGGGAAACAACTAAAGAAGTATACTGTGTACATGTGGCAGGAGAACAAAGCAGGCTATGTCCAGCAAAGTAACTGGACCAACTATACAGTGCACGATACTATGGAAATGGAGGATACATGCATCTGAATAGGGTGAAACTTGCGTAAAGTAACCAATACTTGTATTTTTGTGTCTGTGGCCTGCCCCTTCCCCATGGCTCTGCTCAGTTCTGTGAAGGCGAAGTGTGTGCCAAGAAAAAACCAAGATCAGATGTCTCTTGAGTCAAACTGAGTCATACGGGACCCAAGATGGGGAGGTCTCAGAGGTCGCCTCTGCCCCAGGAAATCCACTCGTGGCCCAACACTACTTGCTTGCGTGCCATGAGCTTTGACTCGCCTCCCCTTGATCTCCTCCTTTGCCCTGTCTCCACGCAGGTCAGTGCGGGTGCATCTGGGGGATTATAATCTGAAGACGAACGAAGGCACAGAACAGATTCGAGGAGTTAAAAATATCATCATGCACCCGGGGTATAATAGCCACCTTAAGGACAACGACTTCATGCTCCTGGAGTTGGATGAACCGGCTGAACTCAACAACAACGTGAAAACAATCGGCCTGGCGACCCAGTGTCCTGCGCCTGGAACAAAGTGCACTGTGTCAGGATGGGGCACCATCACGACCCCGCAACGTAAGGAGCCTTGGGAAGTGGAAGGGAAGGATTGAGGTTGGGCTCAGCGTCGGGAAGGGGGTTGATGATCGTTAGGGAGACCTTGCTAACGGGTTGTCAACAGTCTTTGGCTTCTCACACGGGACATTTTTTCAACTTGAAACAATTGTTGCTGCAAAATGGAGCTTCGACAACACCAACATCTGGGGAGATCTCACAAGAATATAAGAACATAAGAACGGCCAGACAGGGTCAGACCAAAGGTCCATCTAGCCCAGTGTCCTGTCTGCCGACAGTGGCCAATGCCAGATGCCCCAGAGGGAGGGGTCACCCCAGGTAATCCTCACATGATCCCTCCCCTGTCACCCACCTCCAGAGAAACAGAGGCCAGGGACACCATTCCTACCCATGCTGGCTAATAGCCAGGGCTCGACAAATTGCTGAATCTACTTGCCCGTTGCAAGGAGATTTTAGCCGGTCGTGCTACAAGCCCCATTCACCAGCGCTTTGCGTATGCACAGTGCCAGTCTTGCGCATGCGCAGCGCGGGGCTGGCAAGTGGCGCTGGCCAGGGTTTGGCTACCCTGCTAATAGCCCTTGATGGACCTAACCTCCATGAATCTATCTAGCTCTTTTTTGAACCCTGTGAAAGTTCAAGCCTTCACCACATCCTATGGCAAGAAGTTCCACAGGTTGAGTGTGCACTGAGTCCAGAAAAACTTGCTTTTGTTTGTTTTAAACCTGAGGCCTATTAATTTTATTTCATGACCCCTAGTTCTTATATTGTTGGAATAAGTAAATAACTTATCCTTATGCAAATTGTTTCCATACCAGTTGTGATTGTATAGACCTCTATCAAATCACCCTCTTAATCTCCTCTTTTCTAAGCTAAAACGTCCCAGTCTTTTAATCTCTCTTTATATGGGACCCGTTTCAAACCCCTCATCATTTCTGTTGCCCTTTTCTGAACCTTTTCCTATGACAATAGATCTTTTTTGCGAAGAGGTGAGCACATCTGTACGCAGTATTCAAGATGTGGGCTTACTATGGTTTTATACAGAGGCAATAAGATATTTTCTGTCTTATTCTCTATCCTCTTTTTCACTATTACCAACATTCTGTTTACTTTTTTGACTGTCTCTGCACACTGAGTGGATGTTTTCAAAGAACTATCCACAAGGATTCCAAGATTTCTCTCTTGAGTAGTTGTAGCTAAATAAGTCCCCATCATATTGTACGTGTTGTTACCAGCAAAGGTGCACTAGTAAATCAATTTAGACTGGGGCCTGCTGACTATGTGGTAGATGCCTTTGTCCCAGAAGGAGATCCGGCCTGGAACCCACTGTATCTATCACCAGTGGATCTCTCAGATGTTAATAAACACAGACTCTGATCTTATGTTTGAAAAATACAAACCTGTATTGAATACAACAGGTAATAAACACAACACTAAATCAATAACCAACCCCTCACCCTCTGAAAATAAAAGAGGACAGGAACAAAATACCTGTTGTACTCAGTCTGTCAGTGGTGGCTGATGTTCAGGACCTGCAACCCTTTAGCTGAGGTAGCTGTCAGGGGAGGAGCACTGAGGTGTCCTTGGTGAGGTATAGATGCTTGATGGTGTTAGCCTCTGCTTGTAAGGCTGACAGATGCGCGACTTGACCGAAGAGCAATGTTGAACACCAGGAGGGCCTTCACCACAGCTGATGCCGAAGGCTCTATGCCATCCCGATGATGTTGGGTTGGCTATCAGGTAGCTAGGGCTCACAGTACTGGGCTTTCACCATAGTGTGGGCCGAAGCACCCTGAAGGCGGCAGGAGTAGAACCAGGCAGGTTAGACTGGGCCTTCACCACGGTCTCCTCTGTGACACGACTCCTTCTTCTCCAGGTGTAGTGAGAAACTGCCGACCAGATCTTCTCAGGCTTCTAGGTTTTATGGAATCTAAGGCGGGAAACTCCCATGGTCTTGAGTGCAATCAGGGTGTAGTGCTGTGTGCAGACACGTGGTGCTGGGTGCAGATGACTGGTGCGGTGTGCAGGGACACGTGCTGTGTGCAAAGGGTGTTTTGGTGGCAAAAGTCCTCACAGTCGGTTGGGTTCCATTTTAAAGTCCCATCATGCACCAGAATTCCATTTTGGATTGTCCTTTTAGATTCAGTCTCCATTTTGTTTCAGTGCATTTTTGTTGTTATTAAATCCCTACTAACAGTGTAGTTGGGATTGTTTTTTCTAATATGCATAGCTTTACATTGATCAACAATTAATTTCATTTGCTGTTTTATTGCCTTATCACTTAGTTTGGTGAGATCTTTTTGAAGCTCTTCACAGTCTGCTTTGGTCTTAACTATCTTGGGCAGTTTGGCATCATCTGCAAATTTTGCTGCTTCACTGTTTACCCCTTTCTCTAGATCATTTATACATAACGGCTACGTCTACACTGGCCCCTTTTCCGGAAGGGGCATGGTAATTTTTGAGATCGTAATAGGGAAATCCGCGGGGGATTTAAATATCCCCCGCGGCATTTAAATAAAAATGTCCGCCGCTTTTTTCCGGCTTTTAGAAAATCCGGAAAAGAGCGTCTACACTGGCCCCGATCCTCCGGAAAAAGGGCCCTTTTCCGGAGGATCTTATTCCTACTTCCT